TTTTTTTTGTTCAGCTGAGAATGCATCAATCAATAGGACTAGTATATCACATCACAATGAATATACAGATTCATTAAAAGATGCTAATCTTATTGTAATTACTAAACAAAGTATAAATCATGATGATATTCATCATTTACAATTAAATACGAATCAATCATCAGTTCCTATATATTTAACTATTAAAAATATAACTGAAAACAAAAATAGCAGTATTTATCTTCTCTCATTACTAGTTTTTGATGAGTCTAATCAATCGTCATGGGAAAACTTACTTTTTCAACAATATTTGCCAGTGGATCATGTTAATTTCACTACATTTATTGTTCATAATGAATGTAAGTAATATTTTATTATTATTATTTTTCTTTGGTCTCATTTTATTTTACTATCTGTATAGCAAATCTTCTCAAATGTTTGCCTGCAGACTATCCATGTCTAGATACAAGTGAAATGCCTGATACAACTGTATCTGTATGTTGTAATGATATTCAATGCTAATATTCCGATAAAAATAAACTAAACAAGCCTACTTGTGATGGTAGAGCACCAGGTAAAATCTACTATTTGAAATTGTAACTTCCATTTCTTGTTTTATAGTCGTTTCCTATGTGTTTCTTACTTATATTTTACCTGATACTATAAGAACAAAACATGGATTACTAGATGTATATGATATAAAAGTGTTTGAGACAATCGTAAAATAAATTATAATCTAATGTTTTTTTGTTTTAATCATTCATTTTTATAATAGTATCAAGCAATATCAGTTCCAGGTACTATTATCACAGTAATCAATGCTACCATTCATTGTAGCTCTTCCAATATGCTGTAAGTTTTATAGAGAAAAATTATGAGACAATGTTCATCTTATTTATATCACTATTGAAACATATGACAATGGATCATGAATAAATAATCTAAACGAGAAATATAGATGAAAAATATCAATCAAATGTAATTTTACGAAAAGAAAATTGAAAATCAATTCCATTTACTATAAGGACAAATATTTAACTAATTGATGTTATCGATATTTTTAAATTATCTTTTCTAGAGAAAGTTCTCAATCGAGTTTTAGTAATAAAGATATTTTGAAAATCTATTTATCAATAACTACTGCGGTATCATGCAATCATTGTCAAAATGAAACATTGAAATCTATCAATCGCAAACAAATACCATTTAAAATTTCTTCACAAGATAATTCTTCTATTATTATAATTACAATTAAAACACCTGATATTCAGATTATTCATATTCCAGATCAAAATTTAATTGAAACAGGTAATAAAATAATTATGATGTTAAACTTGATAAAAAACAAAAATAGAATCAAAGAAAAACCAATTCGAATTCTATGTATTCTGAACTTGTGAAAAATTTAAAACATCATACATCGTCTACAAAATAAATAATTATTAGATAAAATCAAAAATGAATCTAAGAAACTCTATCAGTTTTTAATTAAATAAGTTTTTTTCTTCTTAATTTCTTCTATTTTTTGCTTTTATTAGAGAAGTATCGTACGTACAATGCTAAATTTCATATTCGATGGTTTAATACATCACCTGACACATATGAAAGACCTATATTAAGTATTAATAAGGAATTTCCAGCGCCTACTATTGTAGTAGAGAAAGGTGACATAATCAATACAGGCCCCGCGCGAGAGCCCCATGTTTGGTGGGGTGTAAGACTCCTGAGGTAGTCAAATTTGGAGACAGCAAAATTTTTTCCGCATCGGACCTAATATTCATCTTTCTCGTGCAACCTTCTCAGAAAACTCGACTTTCTCTGGCAAATTTTCAAGAAGACAATCAGCGTCTGATGTGAGAAAATTCCTCAATACTTCTGCCGCCGAAGGCGGACACTCTAGCGACGATTGTTCTCGACTAGGCTGTTTCGAAGGAAAAATGGACTAAATTTAGAAGTTTTTCTAAGTTAACCGCGATTATGCAACTGTTATTTTTCGCGAAGCGAAAAATTTTTTCATATCAGACTCATGAAAAACTCTTCATTTCCTTATTGTTCTCAAAATCAAAAAGTATTGCTATAACTCTTAGCAATTTCACCGCCGAAGGCGGTCACGCTAGCGACGACTGCTCGCCAATAAAGTTGTTCAGGAGGTAGGAAGCGGTAAATTATGCCATAAAAACAGGAAGATCAGAGTTATTTTCAAGGCGAGTATGCCCATGCGGCTACTTTTTTATAAAGCGAAAAATTTTAATATTTTAGAATTTTGTAGCAAAAACCATCGTTTAAGCCGAAATTTCGAGTAAAAAATCAGCTTATTTCTTCGACTTGCCATAGAACTTCATGTTTTCCGCCGATATTTCAACGATAGTTGCCGATTACTACTATAGAAAGATCATTTCCGCTCAGGACACCTCTGAAAGATGTTTCTGAAAATATCTCTGTGAGATACTTTATAGATTCAAAAAAAGATTATCCATTTTGGTGGCTAATAATAAATAATTTTCAATTATTAGGAAGGTGTACACCGCCCTACACCCCCCCCCCCACTTTCGCGGGTCCTGAATCAATATAACAGTAATTAATGAATTATCAGAAGAAACTGCAATTCATTGGCATGGTTTAATACAACGAAATACATTACATATGGATGGTGTTTCAGGTATTACTCAATGTGCTATATTACCAAATCAATCATTTGTATACACATACTCTACTGGTGATCAATCAGGTACTTATTGGTATCATTCACATTATGCTATTCAATATGGTGATGGTCTTAAAGGTGTTTTAATTATAAAAGATCAAAATGATCCATGGAAAAATTTTTATCAAGATGAAGAAGTTCTTCAAATCACTAATTGGTATCATACACCTGCTTATATACTTTTGCAATCATATTTATATTCTGGAACGTTAGATATAATACATGACACAGGTCTTATCAATGGTATTGGACAATTTAATTGTACTCTAAATGAAACATGTTCTTATTATCGTACATCTATTCGAGCAGGTACAATAAAACGATATCGTATTATAAATACATCAATTTATGCTAGAATAACATTAACGATTGATCAGTATCAAATGAGATTAATAGAAGCAGATGGAATTTATTTAGATGGTAATAAATATTTACGAGCACTTCGTTTAAGTCCTGGTCAACAATATTCTGTAATAGTTACTGCAAAAAAAAAAAACTTTTCATTAAGTTATTGGATACGTGTTACTATTCATCCATTTATTGATTATAATAAACAATATCATTTATCTATTGAACCAAATATAAGAGCTATTCTACAATATATTAATGAAACTGATCAAAATATTCAAACTATTCCATCAATAGATTCATTCAATGATGATACATTTATTATTAATCAATCAATTAATCATGAAGAAATATTTAGTGATCAAATCAGAATTAATTCCAATGAATAAAACAACATATTATGTTCCTAGAAATGGAATTGAAAAAAATATTTTTCTTAAATTCTCAACATAAAGGTGAAAAACCAGGTTATTTTTATTTGAATAATGAAACATTTGTTCATCCAACAAATACAAGTTTATTATCATTAATTTTGTTCAATAATTCAAAAGATTTTCATTTACCATCAACTTTTCAAATTGAAGCTGACGAAATAATTGATATTATTATTAATAATATTGATTTTGCTCCTCATTCATTTCATCTTCATGGTTATCATGTATGGATATTAGCGCAAGTTAATAGTAATGATGGTTACTTAAATCAGTCGAAATTAAAAACAATTGCTTATAATGAAATCAATCCGATCTATCGAGATACATTTACAATTAATCCTTTTTCTTATTTAGTTTTTCGTTTTAAAACAAATAATCCTAGTTTATGGATGATGTACTGTCATAATGATTGACATATACAACTTGGAATGGCTGCAGTTCTTATTGAATCATCTCAAAAAATAAAAGATTATTATTTTAATAATAATTTAACAAGCTATAGTCCATTAAAATGTCAACGTCATTCTTAAATTATTTCATTTTCAAATAAAAATAAATACTTATTAAGCTTATTTAAAAGTAAATCTTTAAATACAGCTGAAATTTCCTTTTGATGCTGGTGTATTCAAGTGTCTACATAGCAGAAATAGTGTCAATATCACGTTACTATTTAATCCTTATTGATAGCATGACATCAAATGTAGACAAAACTGAACGAGGCAACAGTTTCTTCTCTTTTTATCTAATTGTTAAAAAACGATCTCATGAATATGAATGTGAGTACGTCCATAAAAAAATCAACAACCATCTTTATACCCACACAGCCACAAAATTATTGTTACTAAATAGATAGCAGTGCACAGTCGGTATCGTTTATATACAAAAATGTCTAGCTCAGAGTACACAAAGGGATGTTAGGAGCCGTACATAAAAGATCTTCAGGTAAATGGGAAGAGGGGGGGGGGAGTCAAGTATTTCTAGATATCCAGATATTTACTATGACTATTTTCGTTTTCTTCTAACATAAATTTTGAATTAAGCTTTGCTTGTCTTAAAAACTATCTTTAAATAGGAAACGAGTTAGTTGAATATGAACACAGGCAGCTAATTGTTTGCTGAAGCAAGAATATAAATGTAGGTCTATTCTCGAGTTCCATTGGGTTTTTAAAATTCATGTTTTGTTTTTCTTTCGATATATTGCTGATTAAAAATACTATGTCTTTACAAACAAAATCTTGGTAATATAATATATTATTTTTGTTTGTTGTTTATGAAATCTGCGTTTTTTCATTGCTAGTCTTAAGGCTTAAAAAGTTTTGTTTTTAGTATATCTTTAATATTTCGTTTAACTTAATCAATAAATTTATTTTTAATAATAGTAAGTTCATATATCGTGTTTTTAATGATAAAAAGCAAACTTCAAAGCTGTTGCTTGCAACTGAAATGCAAGATTTTAGTTACTTTTTAAATGCAAAAAAAAATATTATTGTTCAGATCTTTAATAGTTATTTTATTCTATTATAAAATCAGCTAATAAGAGATTTTGGAGTATGTTCAGGTCATTCTGTTGATAAATAACCAAACAAACCGTTTGCTTGATATAATATATCACTAGAGCTCGACAATTGCTATTCGAAAAGCAATATTAAATTATGCCCTCGTGCTTATGCGATCATCACCAAAATGTTCCGAGAAAAGTGTGATAGTTGCTAATTTTGAATAATCAAAAATAGTATCTCATATCTTCGAAGTAACTCTTAAGACAGCAGTACATCAATAATTTTGAGTTGAAATACTGTAGATGTGAATAACATTCGAGAAAATGAAGTAGACAAAAAATAATCTTTACATAATATTTTTATATATAGAAAAAGAACTAAATTTTTATATTTCAGTTCAAAGTGAGAAATTCGAAGAATATATTTAAAGTGTGTTCGAATAAATAAACACTTGGTATATTTACCTACCATTGTATAAAAACATTTGATAAAGTTAAATTAAATAATACAGATATACAAAAAGTTGTTTTTTTTAATACTGGACGTTCTTTATCGATGACCCTTGACTACCAGTTAACGTTGTTCTTATCAAAGATAATGCAAGCAAATAATACTCTTTTTTTTTTCTTATCATAGAACTCATTTTAGAAGAGTGATTCTCTTTGTGAAAATATTATTCGACGTCCTTTGTTTTAAAATAATAAGATACAAAAGATACAAGCAGTATGCAACAACTGCGAATATTTCTAATAATTCTTAGTTTAATATTAACGAATGTCATCTATGGACAAGTGGATCCACAGTTGTGTCCAAATGGACCTATTACTAAACCTGATCCTAATTGGCGACCTATTCCATATCGATTTGAAATTATGACTGAACTGATCTCAGGTAATGAGATGATGGAACTTTCACAAGCATTTTCAAATATTCGAGATGCTATAATGATAAATTCAAGAGTTGGTTAGTATTCACCTTTCTTCATATATTATAATCAACTTCTATTTCACATTTTCTTCTCATAGGACCACTACAATTCTATTGGAATTTTGGTACTAATGAACAATTTGAGGTTCTAACTGCCATTGTTAATCAACAACTGATACCAACATGTCTTCGACAAGTCATTGGACCTACATCAGAAACCAGTGTTATGCAACCAAATACACTTTTTTTGAAACCATCAGTTTTACTTGGTTATGATCATCGTAATGAAATAAATCTATCTTGGGGTAATCAATACATGGGCAATGAAATTATACGTAGTGTTCCTACAAATAAATTCAAATCATGTTTTTATGTATCTGATATTAGAGCAACTGTATCTGCAACATATTATATATCTGATGCAACAAAATTTCAAGCTAATTTACCAGCAAATGCAAGTATGATATTAAAAATAGATGTTCAAATTAAAGCTCAAAATGGTCGTCAAGAGACATATACATACAATGTATTTCGTTATACACCAAATCCTAGCCGTCAAGAAGAACGTCAAGCATTAGAAACTCCAGCTGGTGTATATTGTCCAAATCGAACATCGACATTACTTGTACCATCAAATATTCCTGAACGTGTTAGTTCAAATTCAGAAGTTCTTATACCACAAGCAAACGCATCAATTTTTAGTACACATGGTCTATATGATACTGAATTTCAATTCAGTCGTTTTGATCTTTGGTTTCCTGATAATTTTGGTAGACCACAATTGCATCATTACACTGAAATACATGATTTTGGAGTTGGTCTCAGCTATCAATATAATCATTCAACACGTCACTGTACTGTTCGTGATATAAATGCAGGTTTTAATGATGTTGTAACAGTAGATGGACACCCAAATCTAGTACAAATGGGTTCTCCACAACATTTATTTTTAATGGATGATATGACATATCAATTTACCGGTGAAAAACCATGTCGTGATCGTGTTTGGTGTTATGTATGGATTGGTGAAAATTATTTACCAAATGGTACAGTTCAACATCGAGAATGGTATTGGTCATCAACAATTAATGGTGACCCTGTACAACAATCAACTCCAATGAAAATGGTTTTGAAATCTTATGTCAATTCTGTTCTTATATATTCATTTGAAATAGGTAATAGAAAATAATTTATATATAATATATTTTATTTTGTTTTAATTTAAAGCCTTTTTCAACTTTCGTCGCAATCCAAATACAGCCTTCGAGATTGATTACACGATGGCTGAATGCTATCGAGCCATGGGTCCCGAAGGTAAGTAGTTTTTAGATATAGCAAAAATTGATATTTCTAAGTATCTTATAATCTATAGAAAAATTCAATCTCGGTGTCATCTCATTTACTATAGCAAATGATAAAGAATATCCAGTACATAAAAACATAGATTATTTACGATATACAATTGGACAAACATTGACAAATGTTCTTCAAGTGCGATCCATTCGAATTTCTAACATTCTTGTCGATCACGATGGCAAAGATCTTCCTGTGACATTTACACTATTAGATTCACCACCTCGCCTAGGACCAGTAGAATTCCCCTTACAAGAACCATCACTCACTACAGCTATCGAACGTCTTCGTACGGTGATAGATGCTAATGGTCTGTTATTTCGGGCAAAATATAATACTACAGAAATTACTTTACGGGCACGAATCCGTTCACTTCAAGTCATCCATACGAGTTTGGATCAAAACACTACTCAATGTATTAATAAAACTCTTGGTCAAGGTCAAAATCCTAATGAATGTCCACCAACAACAACTGTACAAAATCAAGATCTTAATCAAAACATTGAGATAGTATATAAGAGTTCGGGCCCATTAATCACTGGTTTTTGGATTGGATTCATCATATTAGGTGTCTTGATTGGTACAGTCGGTAGTTTTTTTGTTTTGAAACGTTTCTTCGGACGATGAAAGAAAAAAGAACAAATCTATTGGCAATGCAGCAACACAAAAACTGATACTTTTGATTTATTTTTCTATAGAGATGCATTTATTTCCTTTAAAAATAATTTCAGTACAAAAATATCTGATAAACTAACTGATAGTTCATATTTTCTATATACGACAGAGATGTTTGCTAGTCTTTCATTGTTGAAATTCTACATCAACGAATCAAATGAATGCTTTGTTCTTCTTATCATATGTTTACTGATATCTTCTTCTATGCAAGAATAACTAAATACTTTTATCTATGCATTTAAATATAGAATGCAAGATAAAGAGCTTCGAAGTGCAAATAGCTATTTTAGGTACGCTTTAACTAGAAAAATATCAGTTACATTAATCACTGAACAGAATAAAATAGATTTTCCGCTATATTTCGGTTGATTCAATACATTCTATCAAACTTCATTAGCATATAACCAACTTACTCTCTATTCTTCTTGACTGATAACAGTAATTTGGCCAGTTTTTGAGAGTAATGATAACGAAACAAAACCCTTATCAGTGCATGGTGATAAGAAAAATATCTTGTCTATGTCGTATTTAACAAAACTTTTGTTTACGCAACTTGGAAACAAATTTTGAATGCATAATTGGTTGTCGTCGCATACGTTATTTCTTTTAAAAGATCGAGTAAATTAATACATTCAATATAATTTTTTATCATATTACCTCGAGATAGCCTATTTTCGATTATCAAACAAAGACAAGTTGAAAAATATATAACTCTAATATATTTACACCTAAGTCAAATATATGCAACTAAGCACACACAAAACAAAGCGATGAATGACTACTTTGTAGATATACTATAATATATTTACAATATAACAAATTTTTGTAGTAGCATTTGGAACAATACCAGTAGTGATTCACAGTACAATACATTTTATTTTAGTATATGTTAAAATTATGATAAACACATAATGGTAAATAAAGTAGGCAAAGGATATTATTTAAATGAAAAAAGAAAACGTTCTACATTCGATTTAAACAAAATGAGAAAAGCAATATGTAGAAAAGAAGTTCAATATGGGTTACATCAATATGAAAAGTATCAAGTGTCAAATGTATCAGCTGAATTTTGCAAATTTTGTGCATTTGAAGGTGGTGCCGAGTTTCCATCGCGAATGATTATATTTTTCATATCACTGCTAATTGTAGGACTATTAGTAGGTGTTGAGATTTTATTTAAGAATCGATTGAGAACAAGTACGACGAAGCCAAGAACTATACCGACAATAAGTCCACCAATAATACCACCAGCTTTAGCTCCTGCAGTGTATTTCTCTTGTTTAAGTCGTTGACCATTGTTATTGGAATTATTGACATTAGGAACTTCGCAATTGGAAACATTACAATTGGAAACATTGGCGTATACCCAACTAGCATGAATCGACATAAATTGTTGAGAAACTTTGAGAGAATTTGGCTGTGCTTTTAATTCGATTTGTGATTGAACATTGTCTAACAGTGTTATATCAAATGTGAATTGACCGGCGTTAATTGCCGTTTCCAAAGCTACTTTAGCTGTTTCAACCGATGATTCGTCGTTGTTCGGTATGGGTACTGGACCAAGAAGAGTGAATAGAACATAGATACTATTATCAAATCGAATGTGATCAAGTTCAACGTTGCTTATGCGTGTCCATTTGATCTGCATTTTATTTGCCAGAGTAGATCGCAAGTTTAATTCGAGAGCACGTCTATTCAAATATTTGCTATCTACGGGATTATTATTGCTTGGTTTAAGAACGAAACCAAGATGAAGATATGGCAAGTCGAGTGAGCGATAACATGTACTTATATCGAAATCAGATGGCTTTGATTCATGTGACATTTCATAAAATTCATATTCAATATCTTCAGTGACAAGATTTAATGGTGATGGATTACTTGGATCACGAAATCGATACATTTTTAAATATAAACTTACTGGATAATCAAATTGTTTAGGTTGATCAGATGTTGCAGTAGAAAATGGAGCACGAACTGACCAACCATATTCCATATTAGTTGCTGCCCATGTTTCACCTGTTCCCATACCAATGTCCGGATCAACTATAGCAGGAAAATTGTCTACTGATGTTGTTAATATTGCACATTTAATAGCTTTACCACGACATGCTACAAAGATAAAGAATAGAAGTTTGAAAAAGTTCTATTTTTCTTACATCGAAATCCATTAAATTCCCAAGCTTTTTCAGGTGGATTAAAAATAAAATGAGCTTCATGTTTAATAAAAAATCGTATTGGATCACGAAGAGAACTAACAGCAGGAATTTCTACACCACGATTAATATTACATGTACCAACTTGACGATCAATAATATAAGTTATATTATCAGTATAATCATGAATAACAGTTATAAAATCTTCCGAACCAGGTGGCATATAATCATAACGTAAACGTTTTGAAGTCTGTTCACGACCTTGATCATAACGTAAATGAAATCGTTCCCATCGTGATGAACGTGATGTTGAAGTGTCAACACGAACACTAAAATGATTTGGCCAGCTAACACCAGCATCTTTAAGTGATATTAAATTTTGGCCTGGACCACTTGCACAAAAAACACCTTTTGGTGGTGATAATGCATCATTAGATTCCATAATACCTGGTCGAAATGTATATATATTAAATTCTTCATCAAATTCAGCTAATTGTGTGCCATTTGGGAACACAACTGAAGCACTAATCAGTGCTTGAACAGGAACAGAAAATAAATTATTAACCACACCTGGCATAGTAAATCCTTCTTGAGCAAATGTCCAAATACGTCGTACTGTTCTATATTGTGCCCTATCGATGTAACAACTTTGCCATTTATGAACTGGAATTCCACGTACTGTATCTGTGCCGAGATATATTGGTGTAACTCGTCGATTTGGATTATCACTTGAAAATAAAAGAAATTCATTCAACGGACGAATATGCCATGTACCATCTGGTAATTGTATTGGCGATGCACCATCTAATAAGTAAAAAAAAAAGCTACTATAAAAAATATCGTTAAAATCTTAATATAAATATACCCATATCATTTCCTGTTGGAATATTCGTTACAACACAAAAATCTCCTCCATAATAAGTTGATTTCTTCATGATACCATAGTAAAAATATTCAACATCAATAATGCCATTTCTATTTTTAACTATAATTAATTGATTAGCATTGTAATCATAAAGATATTCAAGCGTAGTTATTTCACTGGGTAGTGTTATATTTTGTATATGCTTAACTTCGACACGTTCTAGAGCGAATTCAGCTTGATTTGGAAATCTAGGTATTGGTGGTGCAGGTAATGATGAAGGTGTAGTTGTTGGATTAACTGTACATAAATTTGAATCGCCATTCCAGTCACCAGGTGTGGTTGGATCTTGTGCTTGATATTGAGAGATGAATAATAGTAGAAGAAAAACAACTTCATTTAGTCGATGCATTGTTAGTTTGCTTAAATGAAAAAATAAAAATGATATGATACTGTACTCTGTTTAGCTGTAAAATAGAAAACTGATAAGATAAAAATAAACCTCTAGATACAGAAAGAAAAACGAAGAAATAGTATGCTAAGCAGTTTTTTGTTGTTGTTTAAAGATAAGACAAAAAGGACAAATATTGCTTAAGTTCCTCCCCATCAAAAATCGAATTTAGCTGAGAAACGGTCAAATGACTTAAAACTTTCAGTTCGATATCAGGACGTTTGACAGAGATATTGGCCTAACGAGGATCAAAAATAATTCATTTGACAAACGAAATTTCTCTGTTCAAGCGCATTCTATATATTTATTTTTCTTTGCTTGAAAGAGCATGCCAAAACTTAGGTTGTGGGAGTGGGTGTTAACGTTGAGATCAACGCACAATGGGCAACAACGTGGACATTTGGTGAAAAAATGAAAGTGATATTTTTCGCGATTTGAATAATGTCCAATATACTTTAACCAATTGCCGATTTTTTGATAACCTTTTTTTTAATTTTAACTCTTTAGAACATCGAAAAAACCTTAGATCCAAAAAATGGCCTGATTTCTGTCAATTTTGAGAAAAGCGTTTTGTTTCAAAGAAAGTAGAATGATTTAAAGAATAAATCATGCAGATTCTGAAAGTAGAGCTCTTGCTCTATCGTTCTATAACAAAGACTTTGCTCTAACAGTCTCTCTGTTAGAAAAACCATGCATTGTTTCTCAACCGAGGGCTTTCCAAAAAAGACGTGTTCAGTGTAGTGAGTGCGCACACTTTAGCACAGCTTCAAAACGCGTGAAATTTTCACATAATGTTTAAATCTGTCTGATACATCTACTCACTTAGCGTAAAGATGCGTAAATGCTCTTGGACTGGGTTAGAGGTTTTCCAGAGTATTCTTTATTTTCTTGGGGTTAGAAGTACTTTCAGACAAAACTAATCACATATTCGGAATCAGCACGAGAAACTGCATTGAATGATGCGCTTTTCAATAACTTCAAGACGAGATCACTTTTCAACAAAATCCAGTCATACGTGAAAATCCCATTTTTCATTGTTTCCTCCGCAATGACGTGAAACTATGAATCTGCAAAGATCATTAACTAGGTTAATAATGCTCGGTTGTGATACAGTCAGAAACAATGGTAAGATCTTGGATCTTTGGATTTTGTGATCACAATCTCTTGGGGCAAAGCTGGATACTACCAAAGGGGTCCACGCAACATGCTTGGGCAAAAAGAAAAAGAAAAGACAAAACAGTCTTGGCATGTAACAATGAAGACGATAGCCTTTTTTATAGTATGCTTGCAGATAGTTAATTATTTCGAATTTTTTTTATAAGTTTTTTTTCATTAATTTTAGTTTTAGCATCAATTTTTTTTCTTTTTTTCGTATATATAGCAAATCCACGAAAAACGACCTTGAAGTACCGGTCTACAATTTGTAAAAGAAGTCTAATGACTTGACCAGTTCCATAAAAAAAGAGTCAAGGGGGGGTGGTGGTGGGCACTATATACTATACGACAACGTGCTTTTCCAGTCTGAGCTCTTGTTAAGATTTGCTAAAACATAGAAAACGGTTCAATTTAAGTGTTCTGTTAAAAGTAGTTTCCAAAGACCTGGATTTCAAGAAAGCCTTCTTGAAGGTTCCGTAAAACTTTTCTATTACCAGATTCAAAATCAGCGTACTCAAAAATCTATAAGAAATGATGAACAAATCGGAACTAGATATATAAAAGACCATTTGGATCTCTGGAAAACCAACTTAAAAGTACTTCTGAGTTCTGCAAACTACTCTATTGAAAATAGCACATGCGAAAACCTATAAGAAAATTATTTTTGAATATATTGGAGTGTTTTAAAACAAAATGTCCGCGTGCATGTGAAAAAGTGCCCACTGTGCAACGGGCCTCACACCCACACCCACTCCATACCCATAGCCACAGCCACACCCTTACTGATATAACCCTATATCTATGTCCCTACTCCTACACCTTTATACAAATAGTCTTACATCTATGTCCTTATCCTTCTATTATTAGATCTATATGCTTACTTGTAAACTCTTATACTTACACTCCTACCTTTATTGCTTATACCTATACTTCGATACTGACATTCTTATGTCTATATCGCTAAAGTTTTCCTCTTAGACCTATCCCATGTGATTCGAACCGGACAAAAGGTGTGGGTGTGAAAGAGTAAGACACCCACACCCAAATTATTCATTTCACGCATGCTTTGAACTAATAGATAGATATTATTTCTTTGTATGAAAAATATACCAGATTGTAAGGAGTTAAAAGAGGAACCTTTTGTAAGGTAGATAAAATTTGAACAAACAAATATTACAAGAGATATTCTCTAAGCACTGAGAAACCCATTATTTTTTGGAGAATTGTTAGTAATTGAAAATAAATGGGAGAGCTCGGTAGTCAACCATTTCTTCATTTTCACAGCTGAATTATTTCATCTATTCATATAAATTAGGCATGAAAATGAAGAAATAATTGCGCAGAGAACTGTGCAATTATGTCTTCATTTTCATGCCTAATTTATGTCAATAGATGAAATAATTCAGATGCGAAAATGAAGAAATTGTTGACTGCCGAGCTCTGCCATTCATTTTCATTTTCGCCATTCATTTTCAATTACTAACAATTCTTCGAAAAATAATAGGTTTTTCAGTGCTTAGAGAATATCTCTTGTAATATTCGTTTGTTCAGATTTTATTTCCCTTACAAAAGGTTCCTCTTTTAACTCCTTACAAGTCGGTATATTTTTTATACAAAGAAATAATATCTATCCATTAGTTCAAAGCATGTGTGAAATGAATAATTTGAGATAAATAGTTCTTTATATGTAGTGATCTGTAAGAAAAGCTTGGGTTAATATTTTTTAAGAAGGTTCTGATAGAATTCATGCACCTGTAGTGGTTTCATCTTAGTTCGACAGCCTACCAAGAACACCATGCGTCACTGTGATTAGAATTCATTTCTGTCAACTCTCGAGATATAATTGAGAGTAACTATTGGTTATGTTGAAAGTCAGAAAAAAGAGTACATGACAATACAATGGTCTTGTGATAAATTTGTGCAAGCGACGGGAACACGAAAGATAAGTTTTTAAGCAAGAGGTACGATATGAAAAACTCGAAATTAAAAAGATTTGTAGAGAAAAGGTAGAAATAGATAAAAATTCTTCGAAAGAATTAAATTCAAGAGAAAATTTATCATCAGTTCAATCTCATTTAAAGAATTGGACGATCATGAAAACCAGTGGTCATATCGAGAAAAGTTTATCAAATGCGTTTTAAATATTTCTGCATCGTATGAATAGATAAAAAAGAAATGAGAAGGAATTTCTGAAATGAAGCGTTATGTTTTTTATTATTTCCAATCGCGATACTTCTGTCCTTTATTTTTCGTTCGAAGATAGGTAAAAAATAAATCTAAATATATCCATAAATAGTATTCTTTGCGAGCTATTGAATCATATGAGGACCAGCCGAAGTAAATGAATTCTTCAAAAGAATTATTAAAATTCATGAGCTCAAGCTTCTTTTTACAGTACTGTACGTAGATGAATTGTAGAGCCATGGTATCGTTGCTATTCCGAGTGTATTTAGAGACTAGCAACTATTTCCTTCAAGCAACTTCAGTATGATTTTTTTTTTCATATTCGTGAAAAATACTCTGTCACTCTTATCAAGGTTCGTGAGGGAAGAGACAAAACTTTTCAATAAGTATCTTATTCTATTGGAATGCCTCAGTTCTAGACAGTTTTTCAGGAGAATGTGTTGTTTTTCTTTGGCAACTAGAACGTTGCACTAGACATCAAGAGATACTATGTTAAACTTCAACCTTAAATTTGAACACTTTCATTCTGTGTCACACCCAAACGGTACAACATTATTTATGAGATCCAAGTATTAGCGAAGATTTTGCTAAAACAACAAAGATGAAATCAAGATTCTGTTTCAGATTCCTACTAGAAACACAGGTGTGACATCTGAAGAAATGGCTGCATCATTTAACCATGAATTGTCAGCAACACGCGAATTGAACACACTCACCAAGCTTCGCACATATTTGAATAACAAGCCATGCAGTTGTTGTTACGATTTTCGTCCATTAGCTCGTGCTCGGATTGTCAATGAGCGAGAAATGTTAGGTTATGTTGGTCATTTGTGGACACTCAACGAAATTCGCTGGACAACCGAAGTCAAAGTGCCATATTATGGTGATGGATCTATGCCCCATCATCCACTAGGCAACATTTGGAACGATTATCATTTCGATCAACCGACTAAAACTCTACTCGATAACCAGAAATCTGAAGAAATCGTTCGTGATCTGAAAGAAACTCAACGTCGAGAGCGATGTGCGAGGTGTGAATGTCTGGGAGAAATTAAATGTCCCAAGTGTTTAGGTTTTGGTTCTGTGGATTGTGACAAATGTCATCTCAAAGGTTCAATTGAGTGTTGTCACAATGAAAACTGTATGAAATGCAAGGGTAAAGGTTCTTATATGTGTGACACATGTTTAGGAAAAGTCAAAATCAATTGTCCGACATGTCTCACTCGTGGCCGTATTCCGTGTACTGATTGCAAAGGTCTTCGTTTTATTCTCGTTTACAATCAATTGCATGTTAAATGGGAGAATCATGAATCATCGATCACTCGGGATATTAGCAATAGCAGTATTCTCCCGGCTTCAGAAATAGAGAAAGCATCGAATAAAGTCACTTGTCTTAAATTTGACGATACTTGGTCCTCGACACAATCGATTGACACCATACTTAATACTTGTGTTGAGTTGCCTGATGATTTATGGACCAATATCCGTGAGCAATTTCGAAAGAAACATTGCAACAATGAGGGAAAAATTATTCGATTACGTTGTACTATTCAGTGTGCTCGTATCAAAGAAATCGATTACACATTGGAGAAAAAGTTAGGTAACACGATTTTTCAGCATGTTTTTTTCAAATCATTTGACTTACTTTTTCTATGTAGACGAAATATATACATTTTGTCTCTATGGTGAAGGTGAAACTGAAGTCTATGAGAACCAATACCCATACAAATGCTGCGGTCAATGTACTCTTTTGTAAGAATTCGTTTATCGCAATACATATATATATTGATGAATTGTATGATTGTTGTACTGTTGCTGTTGGAAGTGTGTTTAGGAAGTAGCAATCGTCTCCATCAACTGATTTAAGCAAAGTTTTTTTTTATATACTTGTCTCTACTACCGCCTAAAAAAATCAGCTCTTCACCAGATCTCTCTCTCCGCAGATATAATATTTTCGAGGCGAAAAGCTTCGGAAGCTAGATGTTGCTATACAAGAAAGCGTCTATATGTCTCTTAATACATAAAAAACCACTGCTGTATTTGCTAGGTTACAAGAAGAAAATCGGTAAGAATTCTGAAAAATGCTCGTTTTCATACTGGATGTAACGCCACCTTTTTAATTTTGCCACGTATATTTTTTCGAGAAAGATAGCGCTGTTGGCCTTGAAATTTATATCCTTTTTTTTCTCTTATTGTCATCTTCAAATGCTAAAAAAATGAGTTTGATGACACAAGTTCTTATCGACAAAAAGAGAAAAATATGTTTAAAATGTAACGGCACCTAGAAAATGATTTTTCCTCGTATCAAGACAATTGAATTTTTTGAAAACCTATTACAAAAGAAGAACACATTGGCTAAATAATTCCTACAAAATAGTTAGTCCGACTTGTTCTGGCTTAGAGAGAAAAGTGACAAAACTTCGCAAACACTCTTTTTGTCAGTAGGTGTTATCCATATGCTGAAAATCTCGTGCGAGCCTTATAACTTGACTATTTTAAACTAAGAAGTAGGGAAACTGTAACATTATAGGTAATTTAGAGTCCTCTTCCCAATGATATACCTAAAACTATAATTGGGCTACTTCCATTTTTCATAATTTTGTCAATCCGAACGGTACAACGGTCACACAATTCATCCATATATATATGTATATATATCGATACAAGTTGGTAGAAGTGCTAGAATACTAATTTACTATTATACACTTTTCAGAAGCTTGATGTACTAATTTCTTTTTTTTTGAAATATGAATATACACCTCTAACGCATGCTTTAATCATAATCCTTTCATCACTATATATTTTATTGTCTAATAAACTTTAACTAAGCAATCGACGATTTATGTCATCGGCGTATATTGTTGCCAACTAAACTCTAATATGTATAAGGAGAAAACATTGTTTGAAAAGAGAGAGAAAATTTGTCTGGCATCAATAAACTTTCATTCGATTTTTTGTTATGCATTACCGATCTTTATTTTCAAAGTTGTCCGTTCATGATAATGTGATTAAGATGAGGCAAAATGAGAAATAAATTCAGAACGTTGTCTTCATCAACGACTATCGAATTGCCAAATAAATTAAAAAGCAAATCTGAAAATATGCAGATAATTCTATAGTCTTAGTCTTAGTGGTATCATTTTTAATATTAAATATATCATTTTGAAAGAGCATGAAACTTTGGGTTTCAAAATACTGTATGTAAAAAAAAAAAGAAACCATTTTGATACCTACGATATTTATGTCGCAAACAATGTTTAGAATGGTTTCTTGCAGTTCAAGAAAAATCTAGTAGAAAAGTTTTGTTTTTACATTGGTGATAGGAAGCATTTCGGACTATAGGATGATCTAATCGAAGGTGAAGTAAGTTCCTTTATCTTAAAATTTCTTTTGCAGGGTAAGTATTGTAAGTGTGCAAATCATTTTTTCATATATAGTATGTTTGACAACATTGTGTAAGGTTTGTACCAAAATTTGAATAATGAGACTTTTGTTACCAATTTACAGCCAACGTTCTTAATTTTAGTTTTGCTCTTCGTAACAAACTCGTATTTTTTTTCTATGGAGGGTGTCGGTGCCATCTACTCACTGGCCGACGCCCACACACCTACACCCATATATTATTATTATTATTATTATTCATTTAAAAAGTTAAATACAAATTATTAAAAAATATTCCATAAATAAAATTGAATTCAAAAGTTTTTCGATCTACTTATCAATGTTATTATTGTTGCTCATGAAAATATATATAAATTAATAAAAATGTTCTGTTCTGATTGTAATAAATTCTTTTATCTTGATTATTTTCACAACAAATATCACTCGACGCAATAAATGTTTCAGACAATGATTGAGAGGAAGTAGGTAAGAGTATATATTACTCACTGCTGAGGAGAGAAAAAAAAACTCTTTTTTTTCTTCTCGTTGTTTTTTTAACGAAGAACCTTTTCGAAAATAAAAATATAATCATCGATGTTGTATGCTTGTTCTATTTATTTAACTCGTTGTAACTGCAGTATTTATTCTAGAAATTCTATTTTTATTATCATTTTATCTTCAAAACACAGACGCCTAAACAACACCAAATCTGATTTTTCAATAAAAAAATCTGATACTATGTCTTATCATTACGATTCGTACTACCGGAGACGTGGCATTAATCAATATGGTAATCAATATGATAATCGAGGTCAAGGAGCTGCTAGAGGAGGTATGTCGCATGTTGAGAACTGTGAGTAGATGTTTTTGTGGATCCGAACCCAAGTTTTTTTCCATCTATATCTGGCACTCATTGTGTACATAAACAAGTATAGCGTCAATGTTTTAGCTATTTATTGGCTACTCTGTGAAAAAAAGTCAATGTACAGTTATTTCGTATTGTTCGCTTTTCCATCGCTTGATACTTAATAAATTACAAGTTTTTGCTTTATTGAAAAGAACATTATGTTATCAAAAAAGGAAATTGAATAGTTAATTGATAAACAAAATTTGTTATTGAAAATTTTCAAACCAATAGTAATAACAAAATCTCCAATTGTATGAAATAGTTTCAGTTGTATTGATGTAAACGAAACCAAGGAATTAGGGAGCCGCAGATCCATGTTTTATTAATTCCATGGAAAATTTCGTTAACATTAACATCAGAAATTTTTATTAGTAAAGTACATGTTATATTTGTTATTTTAATCTTATTATTAAATCTCACCTTTTGCCACAACATATCAGTAAACTATTTTTGATGCATTATGATTTTAGGATCATATCATTATACCAATCAAGACGGATCTTTTTACTATCAAAATAGTGATGGATCAACATATTATTCATCATCTGAAGGATATGGAACTTATACATCACCATATGATAATCCTCGTTATTACGAGTCAAGTGAATCAGAGGAAGAAGAACAAGAATATATTCCCCAACCGAGACGTCGAAATTCCAAAAAGAAAAACGTCAAAAAAACAACAGGCAAAGTATCAAAAGCAAAAAGTAAAAAACAAAGATCTCGAAAATGAAAACAAATTAAAAGTATCATCATTGATCGTATTACATGATTTATTCCTATATAAACATTCAATTGACTACTATTTGATTAGAAAAAAAAAACTGTTTCATCTTATCTATGCTAATAAAATAACAGTGATTTTGAAATTCTATTCATTCACGTCGCACTCACTCAGATTTGGATCCAGAACCAGACCTAGACTATCTTGGATGTGGGTGTGGTTGGATAGAAGAGCTAGATCACACCCACACCATAAAAACCTTTCAACTGATTTATGTATTGAAGATTCGAACTGACGTAAGATCTTGATTCATTACTCGTTTTGTTTTTTGATCAATGCGCCTCAATCGGAATTAATCGATCATAATTGTCCTTTGTTCGACAAGATTCATCATCTCTGTCGATCTACAATTTGAGTCGAAGTTTCATCAAGAGAACATCGATAATCAACGACAGAAATTTCGTCTTACGATCATTTTTGAAATTCAATGAAACGAAAACTTTATCTATAGTAAACTTAATGATTTATAAAAATAATGACAACCGATTGTCGTACAGTACTTTTTACTAGTGGTGATATTAATCATAGATAATCTAAAGATATAATTGAAGTACCTCCTACAGCACAACAAGCTGCTCGTGTTCTTGTTGAAGATTTTATCTTTCAATTTGGAGTACCGAATCGTCTCATCACTGATCAGAGAGTACCCTTTCACTATGAATTGATGAAAAACATTCTAGGAACGATAGCCTTCGACAATATTAGAGCTACAGCATACCACCCACAGAAGAATGGCCAGGTAGAGTGGTTTAATGCGACATTTCATCCACAACTAACAAAACTGTATGATCAACAATTAAATAATTAAAATGAATATGTACTAGCAGTAGTATATGGATACAATACTGGACATCATGCTAAAGCTCACTATTCACTATTCACCATTTCAATTGATGTTCGGTGCTAGTGGCGACCGTTCTTGCAGATCGAATTCCTAATACACTCATGTCAAGCAATTCAAATTTTCTCGTTCCTTTATCAATGATGACACTGTCGCATGTTTTTCATTGTCTACTTATCTCCAATGACAGCTCGTGATGATCGATTCATTTCATATGAATACCCCGAACGGAATACGAAACTGCCCAATATAAGATAATATTGTCCCTCTCGGGCTGTGCTTTTGCTTTTTCATGATCGAAATATCCATACGCCAAAAATCGTGTGTAAAAAAAAAGAGCATTCTTGCTTATCTTTTCTCGACTGCTTTTTGAACTTTACCTTTCTATTTGAAAAAAAGACGTGACTGGAAAAAAAAAGATCTTCTCCACAATGTTTGTGGCTTCTTTTCTTTCTATTGTCCTTGAGAATTGATATAATTCTTCTGGATTTGAATCAGTTTCTATTGAATCTTCCAATGAAAATTGATAGTCCGTGTGCCGCTAATATCCGTTAAAATACGAGAGAATCCAAGGAAATCCATTGCGAATTTTAAAAATCTAAGAATTCGAAAATTTCTTTTATCTTCTCAGTTCTCAGGCATAGTAAATAAAAAAGCATGTTCATTCATACGATTTTAAGTTTGGCTCACAAACAATCGTCGTATACGACCATTATTTGTCGTATTACTCGTCAGATGGTTTATGCTCATCAACTGCTATAAACGATCCTATATAAATGTCATGTATACTAATCCGAAATGACAGCGACTTTTTATCATGCATTATCGTAAGCTTTTCGCGAGGGATAAAATGATGTAAATATCATTTTATCAGACGATTTTCCACGAAAATTACATTCTAAAGATAGATGTTTCATATGAAGAAATTGAATATGACAGACATCGATGTTGTCTGGAGTCCATTTCGAGTGTGGGTGTTACTCTTCTCTTTAACCACATCCACATTCACACCGACACACTCACTCACACCCCTTCTGATCGTTTTCTACTTAGGGCAATCCAAAAGTAGTGGCGCCATTACCAAATTTTCTT